CAAACCAAAGGAATGAGCAATCTATTCAATGAAATAATACGAGAAAACTTCCCAGACTTGAAGAATGAGACAGAACCCCAAATCCTAGAAGCCTACAGGACGCCGAATGTGCAAAATCATAAGAGACCCACACCTAGACACATTATAATGAAGATGCCCAACATACAGAATAAGGAGAGAATTTTAAAAGCTACAAGAGAAAGGAAGCAGATCACATTTAGGGGTAAGCCAATCAGGATAACAGCTGATCTTTCAACACAGACTCTGAAAGCTAGAAGATCCTGGAATAACATATTTCAAACACTGAAAGAAAATGGGTTCCAACCAAGAATTGTGTTTCCAGCGAAATTACGCTTCAGGATGGAAGATGAAATTAAAACCTTCCACGATAAACAAAAGTTAAAAGAATTTGCAGCTAGAAAACCATCTCTTCAAAACATCCTCGCCAAAGCATTACAGGAAGAGGAAATGGAAAATAACAATGAAAACCAACAGTGGGAGGTAGGACACTAAAGGGGGGAAAATAATCAAAGAGGAAAACAAACCATGTTTAGTAACATAAGTAAACAAATATGGCTGGAAGAACAACCCATATCTCAATAATAACCCTAAATGTTAATGGCTTAAACTCACCAATCAAGAGACACAGGCTAGTAGAATGGATCACAAAACAAGACCCAACAATATGCTGCCTACAGGAGACGCATTTGATAGGAAAAGACATACATAGGCTGAAGGTGAAAGGTTGGGAAAAATCATATCACTCATATGGACTTCGGAAACAAGCAGGAGTATCCATACTCATATCAAATAAAATAGATTTCAAGCCAAAGTTAATCAAAAGGGATAAAGAGGGACACTACATACTGCTCAAGGGAACCATACACCAACAAGACATAACAATCATAAATATATATGCCCCAAACAATGGTGCAGCTATGTTCATCAAACAAACTCTTCTCAAGTTCAAGAGTCTAATAGACCACCATACAATAATCATGGGAGACTTCAACACACCTCTATCACCACTGGACAGATCTTCCAAACAAAAGTTGAATAAGGAAACTATAGAACTCAATAACACAATTAATAACCTAGACTTAATTGACATATATAGAATATACCACCCAACATCAAGCAGTTACACTTTTTTCTCAGCAGCACATGGATCCTTCTCAAAAATAGATCATATATTATGTCACAGGGAAACTCTTAGACAATATAAAGGAGTAGAGATAATACCATGCATCCTATCTGATCATAATGGAATGGAACTGAAAATCAATGATAAAAGAAGGAAGGGAAAAGAATACATCACTTGGAGAATGAACAATAGGTTACTGAACGATCAATGGGTTATAGAAGACATCAAGGAAGAAATTAAAAAATTCTTAGAGATTAATGAAAACACAGACACAACATATCGGAATCTATGGGACACATTGAAAGCAGTTCTAAGAGGAAAATTCATTGCTTGGAGTTCATTCCTTAAAAAAAGAAAAAACCAACAAATAAATGATCTCATGCTTCATCTCAAAATCCTAGAAAAAGAAGAGCAAAACAACAGCAAAAGAAGTAGAAGGCAAGAAATAATGAAAATCAGAGCTGAAATTAATGAAATCGAAACAAAAGAAACAATTGAAAAAATTGACAAAACTAAAAGTTGGTTCTTTGAAAAAATAAACAAAATCGACAGACCCTTAGCCATGCTAGCGAAGAGAAGAAGAGAGAGAACTCAAATTACTAACATACGGGATGAAAGAGGCAATATCACAACAGACACTTCAGAAATACAGAAGATAATCAAAAATTATTTTGAATCCTTATACTCCAATAAATTAGAAGATAGTGAAGGCATAGATAAATTTCTTAAGTCATATGATCTGCCCAGATTGAGTCAGGAGGATATAGACAACCTAAACAGACCAATATCAATTGAGGAAATAGAAGAAACCATCAAAAGACTACCAACTAAGAAAAGCCCAGGACCGGATGGGTATACAGCAGAGTTTTACAAAACCTTTAAAGAGGAACTAATACCAATACTTTTCAAGCTACTTCGGGAAATAGAAAAAGAGGGAGAACTTCCAAATTCATTCTACGAGGCCAACATCACCCTGATACCTAAACCAGACAAAGACACTTCAAAGAAAGAAAACTACAGACCAATATCTCTAATGAACCTAGATGCAAAAATCCTCAATAAAATTCTGGCCACTCGGATACAAAAACTTATCAAAAAAATTGTGCACCATGATCAAGTAGGATTCATCCCTGGGATGCAAGGCTGGTTCAATATACGGAAATCAATAAATGTTATTCACCACATCAATAGACTTAAAAATAAGAATCATATGATCATCTCGATAGATGCGGAAAAAGCATTCGACAAAGTACAGCATCCCTTTATGTTCAAAACTCTAGAAAAACTAGGGATAACAGGAACATTCCTCAATATTGTAAAAGCAATCTATGCTAAGCCTCAGGCTAGCATCATTCTGAATGGAGAAAAATTGAAGGCATTCCCTCTAAAATCTGGAACAAGACAGGGATGCCCTCTCTCACCACTTCTGTTCAACATAGTTCTCGAAACACTGGCCAGAGCAATTAGACAGACGAAAGAAATTAAAGGCATCAAAATAGGAAAAGAAGAACTTAAATTATCACTATTTGCAGATGACATGATTCTATACCTAGCAGACCCAAAAGGGTCTACAAAGAAACTATTAGAGCTAATAAATGAATTCAGCAAAGTGGCAGGATATAAAATCAACACGCATAAATCAAAGACATTCCTGTATATCAGCGACAAATCCTCTGAAATGGAAATGAGGACAACCACTCCATTCACAATATCTTCAAAAAAAATAAAATACTTGGGAATCAACCTAACAAAAGAGGTGAAAGACTTATACAATGAAAACTACAGAACCCTAAAGAGAGAAATAGAAGAAGATCTTAGAAGATGGAAAAATATACCCTGTTCATGGATAGGCAGAACTAACATCATCAAAATGGCGATATTACCAAAAGTTCTCTATAGGTTTAACGCAATGCCAATCAAAATCCCAACGGCATTTCTTGTAGAAATAGAGAAAGCAATCATGAAATTCATATGGAAAAACAAAAGACCCAGAATAGCAAAAACAATGCTAAGCAGGAAGTGTGAATAAGGCGGTATAGCGATACCAGACTTCAAACTATACTACAGAGCAATAGTAACAAAAACAGCATGGTACTGGTACCAAAACAGGCGGGTGGACCAATGGTACAGAATAGAGGACACAGAAACCAATCCACAAAACTACAACTACCTTATATTTGATAAAGGGGCTAAAAGCATGCAATGGAGGAAGGATAGCATCTTCAACAAATGGTGCTGGGAAAACTGGAAATCCATATGCAACAAAATGAAACTGAATCCCTTTCTCTCGCCATGCACAAAAGTAAATTCAAAATGGATCAAGGAGCTTGATATCAAATCAGAGACACGCCGTCTGATAGAAGAAAAAGTTGGCTACGATCTACATACTGTGGGGTCGGGCTCCAAATTCCTCAATAGGACACCCATAGCACAAAAGTTAATAACTAGAATCAACAAATGGGACTTACTCAAACTAAAAAGTTTTTTCTCAGCAAAAGATACAATAAGAGAGGTAAATAGAGAGCCTACATCCTGGGAACAAATCTTTACTCCTCACACTTCAGATAGAGCCCTAATATCCAGAGTATACAAAGAACTCAAAAAATTAGACAATAAGAGAACAAACAACCCAATCAACAAATGGGCCAAGGACCTGAACAGACACTTCTCAGAGGAGGACATACAATCAATCAACAAGTACATGAAAAAATGCTCACCATCTCTAGCAGTCAGAGAAATGCAAATCAAAACCACCCTAAGATACCATCTCACTCCAGTTAGATTGGCAGCCATTAGGAAGTCAAACAACAACAAGTGCTGGCGAGGATGTGGGGAAAAGGGTACACTTGTACATTGCTGGTGGGACTGCAAATTGGTGCAGCCAATTTGGAAAGCAGTATGGAGATTTCTTGGAAAGCTGGGAATGGAGCCACCATTTGACCCAGCTATTCCCCTTCTCGGTCTATTCCCTAAAGACCTAAAAAGAGCATGCTACAGGGACACTGCTACATCCATGTTCATAGCAGCACAATTCACAATAGCTAGACTGTGGAACCAACCTAGATGCCCTTCAATGGATGAATGGATAAAAAAAATGTGGCATTTATACACAATGGAGTATTACTCTGCATTAAAAAATGACAAAATCATAGAATTTACAGGGAAATGGATGGCATTAGAGCAGATTATGCTAAGTGAAGCTAGCCAATCTCTAAAAAACAAATGCCAAATGTCTTCTTTGATATAAGGAGAGTAACTAAGAACAGAGTAGGGTCGAAGAGCATGAGAAGAAGATTAACATTAAACAGGGATGAGAGGTGGGAGGGAAAGGGAGAGAGAAGGGAAAATGCATGGAAATGGAAGGAGACCCTCAGAGTTATACAAAAGTACATACAAGAGGAAGTGAGGGGAAGGGGAAAAATAATATAAGGGGGACAAACGAATGTCAGTAGAGGGAGCAGAGAGAGAAGAGGGGAGGGGAGGGGAGGGGAGGGGAGGGGGGATAGTAGAGGATAGGAAAGGCAGCAGAATACAACAGACACTAGTATGGCAATATGTAAATCAATGGATGTGTAACTGATGTGATTCTGCAATCTGTATATGGGGTAAAAATGGGAGCTCATAACCCACTTGAATCAAATTGTGAAATATGATATATCAAGAACTATGTAATGTTTTGAACAGCCAACAATAAAAAATTAAAAAAAAAAAAAAAGAAATATTCTAAATTAATGAAGGATAAAGCATTCAACAATTCTCATTACTATTAAAAAAATAAAATGAAGCTTCATCTCACATTACCCCAATTTCATTACTCCAAATAGCCCAAATGAAAGCAGAAAACACTAACACATACCTAGATGTTTTTCCAGCCATTGATGTCCTTCAATTAGCTGGTCAATTAAGGCAAAATAATGTGAAGTAGCTTCATCAGGCATAACCCAGCCACCTGTCACAACTTCAAACTGACCTGTTTGCAGAAACCTAGGGAGATGACAAGACATTAACAAATATAAGTTCAAATAAAAAAAATAAAAGTACAATAAACATTGTAAAACAGACTTCAAGTGTAGCCAGAATTTATTCTGTGAAAAAAAAAAATTTACACCAATGAATGAATTCAACTTTAGGGTTCTAGTGATAAAGCTTCCCTAGTAAAATGTCTTAGCTAACCATCCCTTCCCTAGGCAAGGTCATGCAGGTCACTTTGGAGGCTCCTTTCCCAAAGGGTATAATTTCCCACACAGCTGCAAAGACTCTTAATCTCAGGAGCCACATATAATTTATTTCTGAATCCTACAAAGCATCTAGGCAAGGTGCTTTACTCAGAGTACATGCTTGATGAGTATTTACTGGAGGGCTATTTTAAGGATAGAATTTATTTCCATATACCTATACCAAAAAAATAATATTTACCATAGTACTTATGACACTGAGAAGTTAATGAAGCAAACTACTCAAAAATAAGAATTAGCCAGGTATGGTGGCATATGCCTGTAATCCCAGCAGACAGGGAGGCTGAGACAAGAGGATCAAAAATTCAAATCCAGCCGCAGCAATGGCAAGACACTAAGCAACTCAGTGAGGCCCTGTCTCTAAATAAAATACAAAATGGAGCTGAGGATGTGGCTCAGTGGTTGAGTGCCTCTGAGTTCAATCCCCAGTACCACCAACCCCAAAAAATGAATTAAAGCACTTTGCTCTAGATTTAGTCTGAATGTAAACTATATTGTTTATTTTTCCTTATTGAATGAAAAGCTCAAACATTATCATTGTTTGTCTACTGACCTTTGCCATAATACCATACAGGTTAAAGATCCCTAGCCTTTGTAAAATTGAATTGTTATAAGAAAATAAGTTTTTATGAGAAGGAAAAAAAAAACTATTAAAAAATTTTTGAAAAGTGCCAAAGCATAAAATTAATAATTTAAGCAAATATCTTAAGTGTCACAGACAGTTTGCAATAAGGTGGTTTGGACAATGGTAAAATTTCAGGATGAAGCAAGTATATATCTCACTGGATGCACACACCTGACAGTGAAATACCAAGCCAAATTTACTCAAAGCACACCAACGGCACAAAAAATACGTATCAGAAGCCCAACATTAACACAACATTTGATTTCTAAACATATGCAGGATCACTTAACCAGTGATCACTTAACCAGTGATCCTGGATAATGGATACAGTTTCTAGAAGTATAAAAATAAGTTATATCTAAAAATTTCTTGCATAAAATACAAAGAAGTGAGTTAAATTTACATTGTCATGGGGATCATTAACTAATTATTTCACTTGAAGAATATAATGACTCATTATAGCATCTAAAGGAACGCAAATGTCCGACAACATTCAGAATCTGAGACAAACATCAAAAACTTAGAAAAAAAAAAGCTGGAAATTTCTATAAATTACATTTCTTTAAGAACACAACTAAATCCAAGACTACTGTGTCTCACCCACCCTTACTGCCTTTGCTCATAATTAGTTCTTTTATGTATCATAATGGTGATTGCCTGATTTAACCACACTCTAGAGGCCATGGACCTAACTAAACCTTTATACCTTATGAGAGCACTGGTAACCTGAGATGTCAGGACAGTTTAGGATTTAATATGACCATGAAATGTGGAAACTCAACTTCATTATTTTATAAGTTTATCAAAATAAATTCTTTGCTGATCTAGAAGAGAAAATAACTATCGATTAAGAAAATTTTTTAAAAATGGGAAAAAAATCACCCTAAAGATGGAATTTTTTTTACCTATATCAATTTTGCTACCTAGCTCCTGTCCTATAGTCACAAATGGTTTCCTAAGAACAGTCAATTGAATACAGAATAAAATTATATTCTGCAACTAATTTTCCCAGCTTTGCTTGTGAACACCCCATCCCTTCTCCTTCCCCATGATGCCTGAGATGCTTTGATGGTATGTCATGTGGTTAAAGACAAAATATCTAAGATATTTTCCATTACTTTCTTCTCTATCCTTCCCCAGCTAGCTGGTTCCAACTGCCTTCATGTCTCAACTCAAATATATATACTCAGAGAAGTCTCTGTAAGCACCCAGGCTAAATCATACTTCCACAGTATCCCCAAATCACTATCATTACATCATGGCTTATATCACAAATCAAAGTTACCTGTTCATTTACATGCCTTCTCTCTTCTCTTCACTCCTATTCTCCATTAAAACATAAGTCTAAAGAACAGGGACTACACATGCTGTTTGGTTCACATCTACATGCCCCCTAAGCAATCAATGAATGAGACTCTCAGTTTAATATTGGTAGTTACATAACATTTATATATATATATATATATATATATATATATATATATATATATATATATATATATATATCAAGCTCACAGATACATGAAACATAAATTAGAAAATGAAGTGACAGTTAGCATGAACTTTCAATAATCTAGGCATGAGGTGAGATGCTCTAGAATTCGACAGTGGTAAGAAATATGGAAGAGAAAGAAGACAACGGAGTCATTTTATGAAAAAGTATCAAGAGAAATTAGGGAAGGATTGGAGCTAAAGAAAAGGAGGATTACAACAAATATGACTTGGGGTTACAATGACAAGTGTCTAAGGGAGCAGTGGTATTAATAAACAAGACAGTGAAGTAGAGTTGACAAGGGGACTCACTTTGGAATGATGAATATAAATTTGGTCAAGATTACTGATAATAGGGGGACATCCAAAAGGAACTACTCCAATAGAAAACCAAGCTTATGGGAATAGGAAGCACAGTAAAACAAAGCAGACGTCGCTTTCCTACATTCATATATGAATACACCACCCATGAAACAACACAACATGTACAACCACAAGAATGGGATCCTAATTAGAATAACTTATATTCCATGCATGTATAATATGTCAAAAAAATTAAAAGAAAAAAAGAAAAGTAAGCTTAGGAAAAGGGGCCATATAAATTTAAGTTAGGGGGCTGGGGTTGTGGTTCAGTAGTAAGTAGAGCACTTGCCTAGCAGGTGTGAGACACTGTCTTCGATTCTCAGCACCGCTTATAAATAATAAATAAATAAATAAATAAAATAAAGGTCCATTAACAACAACAAAAAAAAATTTTTTAATTTAAGTTAGGGAACTGGGTGTGGTGGAATATGCCTGTAATTCCATCAACTCAGAAGGCTGAGACAGAAGGATTGCAAGGTAGAGGCTAGTCTTATCAACTTAGAGAGACCATGTCTCAAAATAAAAAGGACTGGGTATGTAGCACAGTGGCAAAGCACCCTGGGTTCAATGCACAGTATACAAAATAATAAGGAGGAAATAGGGAAGCATGGGAAGTCTTAAAAAGAAAATCAAAAGGAAAGTCAAAGATCAAGTAGAAAGATAATATATGAGGAAAAGGAAGTGATAATGTTAAAATGAATAAATTTGTGAAAAATTCTAGAAAAGAGTAATAAGGAGAAACTATTCCTACAGTTGGCAAAAGATGTTTAAAATTACCAAAATTGTGCCATAGATTAGTCACATCTGTGGGTCAGACTTAAAAGTTGAGAAAAATCTTCTCAATATAGCCATCAAATTTGTGGGGAAAAGAATGGATTATTATAGGTTCTCTGATGTTTTTTGTTTTTTTTCCCCAAACATGCTCATAAGAAAAAGTTAATATATTATGTCATGGAAGCCAGGGGACTTTCCTTTTAGAATAGCTTGCCACTACATGTTTTTAAGAAAAATTGCATGAGTAGGTCAAAATAGGTAGAAATAAGGTCACAATAACAGGCCAAACGAGCACAGCTTTTAGTGTTTTCTCAGCACAGACTCTCTAATCAGAAAAAAACAACCAATGGAAAGCAAAAACAACATAATTTTAAATATGAAGCAACAGCCTATGTAATGCAACACAGGAATAATAAGGTTAGTGGTTATACCTCTTTAACTGAACTGCCTATTTTTCCCACTGTATGACCCTCAAAACCATCCATAAGCATGGTTTAAAAAAGAAAAAAAAGAAAGATTATAAACCAGAAGATTCTTACAGGCAGTGAAGTTTGGTTTGGTATAAAATATTTATTGTGTAAGACAAAAACACTTGCCATGTGATCATTCAATATCAAAGACAAAAGCAGAAATCTGTAAGCACACAAATTTGCCCTGTACTCCAGACCCTATGTGATAAGCACTTCAGCATCTGAGGGATAAAGAACAACAAATGGTACCTGCCCCGCCAAAAAAGGGAAAGCTATTGACCTAATTATTGAGAAACACAGCAATGACCATCATCATTTAATAATAGCCACAAAAATTAGAACAGAGTATCTTGTAGAAACAACATATAAGGAAATACTTCTAAAAATAAAAGCAATAACAGAAAAGTTATGTAAGCATATAAAAAAATACCACTTAAAATCACTACTGTTAGTGATAAGACAAAAATTAAGACAGATTATAACTGCATTTTCAAGACTTTAATAATTTAAATAAAAGTAATGGGAAATAGCTATATCCAACATTAAAAAAAAATGGCAGTGGGGGGGATTACTGGGGATTTAACCCAGGGACAATTTAACACTGAGCTACATTCCCAGCCCTATTTATTTTTTGTATGTTATGACAAGGTCTGAATAAGTTATTTAGGGCCTTGTTAAATTGCAGAGACTGGCCTCAAATGTGCCATTTTCTTGTCTTAGCCTCCTGGGCACGCCACCATTCCCAGGCAGAAAATTTTACTTAGAACAAATACAGGCATTTCAAAGTATTTTTATTCACTTGATGTTTAAAAATCAAATAAATGAACCAATTCTAAAAAAGGCAGAGGAAAATATATCCAAAAACTCATGCCCCTCCAATAAGGTCTATTGCTCTGTTTCTACCAACACACTAATTTCTGGCAAACAATTTTTACATATACACTTCAAGATATTTCCTAATAAATAGGAGATTCAGAGGCAAAGGTGGAAAAGGAAATGAAGGAAACACAGCCCATGGATGTAGCA